AAACACTTAAACCCTAAACCCCAAACCCTAAACCCTAAACCCCTAAACCCCCAAAACCCTCAACCCCTCAACACGAGAACCTTTCAGCACCCGACGCTCTTCCCTAATCTGTCTGGTGCTTAGTAGAGAATGGGGGAATGGGTTATAGGGACTACTATAAAGGGACCTCACGGGACTATCATAGGGATCCATTCCCCTCCAAACCCTAAACCCTAAACCTTAAACCCTAAACCCTAAACAGCCCTAGTCCCTACTAAGCACCAGACAGTAATTCTTCAACCTGAAGTCAAAGCCCAGCACTTCCCTGGAAGGTGATCGTCAAGCCCGTCGCTGCCTGCTTGCAGTTTAGGGTTTAGGGTTTAGGGTTTAAGGTTTAGGGTTTAGGGTTTAGGGTTTAGGGTTTAGGGGTTTAGGGGTTTAGGGTTTTGGGGCGTAGGGTTCAGGCTTTAGCAGAGAAAGCCCAATCCCTGCACCAAGTCCCCTTTATAAATAAACTACAACATACCTCATACCCTGTTCTAGTGATTAAGGGCCGATCTATTTGGCCAGCCGAGCTCCGCTTGAAGACTCATGTTTTGGCAGCACGGGTAGGGCTTAGAATGTAGTGCTCAGGGTTTAGAGATTTTACAACCCCAATCCCCTAAATCCTAAACCCTAAAATATGATCTACTGCTCATCCCTATTATGGTAACTTAAAAAAGACCCCTTAGCAAGAACCCAGTCATTCTCGGCCTCGCCCCCGGAAAAGCCGTGCCCTTAGTACACTAAACCTGAATATCCTAATCTGCCCAACCACAGGTTTAGGGTTTAGGGTTTAGGGTTAACCGTGGATCCTGCCCCCTTAGAGAACCCGTGCTTCAGGGTTTAGGGTTAAGGTTTTAGGGCACCTGTATACCCTACACCCTAGACCCTAAACCTTATGTACATGCCTGTAAGGATTCCTTCCTGGAGCCCCGCTCCCCCTCCTCCTCCAGCCCTGAGTCCTGAGTGCTTTTCACCGCTCGCCTAAAGCTACTCCCCCTCCGCTAAACCCTAAACCCTAGACCCCCAGACCCCTAAACCCTAAACCCTAAACCCTAAACCCTAAACCCTAAACCCCTAAACCCCAAACCCTTATCGAGCCCTTGGAACTTTATGGCGCCTTTTGATAGAACTCCTGAGAAGGAGCCCGAAGTATCATCCGAGGCCTTGGCTGTTGCGATAGCCGGTGCAGGCGGAAACAGGGAAAGCAGTGCCAAAGCCTGGGTTCTTAGAGGTTACAGGGTGTAGGGTTAAGAGTTTAGGGATTAGGGTACACTTTACATTTTCGGGAGCAATATTAACTCCAATAGCAGCAAATATTTACACTTTTTGAACCTATGAACTCAGCATCGAAGCGGGTCTTTAGAGTTTTGGGGGTTCGGGATTTGGGTTTCGGAAAATCATTACGGGACAGAGGGCTCAGAGGTCGTACGTACCTGTAGTCATGAAAAAGTCAGTACCGCGTAATATAGGGGCTTAGATAATTACTAATATCGTTTTGGGGGCTCCTTGTCATAAATATAGTATAATGGGCCCCAAAACAGCATTCTAATTATTACGGCCCCTATATTAACCCATTATCCTCATGCCCATGCCCCAGAGAGGTGTTCGGGTTTTGGGGTTCGGGGCGGTTTTGGGATCGATCGTTCTGCGAAGCAGATTTTGTCCAGGGGTTGGGAACGAGATCTCGTGCTGTGGGTTTGCTGACTGGGTATGGAATGGGAGGGGGCTTGGGAGCGAGCATCCGAGCACGTCTTGCTTGCCGGCTGCCCGACCCCTCCGAGACAAGACTCTTCTGACTCTGCCCGGGCTTGACAAAGTCCCGTCATGTCCGCCGTCGATGCCAACGACCTTTTTTCCTGGGAACCTGGCACTTCGCTTGCGAGCTTTGACGCAAGACCAGAGACCGGCTCAGGAAAAGCAGCAAGAGCTCATGATCAAGAAATGGTGGAACGGCAAGAAGTCTGAGTTTATACAGGCGTGCGAGCAAAAGGCCCTCTGCGGCCAGTATACCTGCACGTGTGACCTGGGCTACATTAACGACCTCAATGGCGGTCAGCTGGAGTTCATCATTAGGCAAGAACTCGAGTCGACATTCGGGTTGGCGGTGCAAGGAATCCATTATGTATGGTAATTATGTAGGCAACTGGGCCCTTAGGGTACGGTAAGGGTTCATGTAGGGTTTAGGGTTAAACCCGGGCATGGGTTTCTATTGTCGCTGGTGTCTTGCAGCAGTACATTTGACACATAGAAGTCTGGCACCCTACACCGTTTAGGGGTTAGGGTTTTAGGGTTTAGGGGTTTAGGGTCAACCCTAAACCCTAAACCCTAAACCCTAAACCCTAAACCCTAAACCCTAAACCCTATACTCTAAACCCTAAAAGCATTCTTCTGTGAGGCATACGGTTATCAGTCTTGAGGCTCCAACCCGTCAACCCGCGAGCCGATCCGACCCAAACTCGCCAGGGTTTGGGGCTCAGGGGCTTACTACCCCCGCAGCTGAAGAACCTAAACCCTGAACCCTAAACCCCCCTAAACCCTAAACCCTAAACCCCAGACCCTAAGCCCCTAGAGCCCTAAACTGAACCCTGCACCCTAAACACTAAACCCAAGCCCGCAAGCCCTGAGTCCCGCTGCAAGGCAATTTTAACTCTCCGAGCCCTAAAGTAGGTGACACCCTCAGCCGATGCCTAAACCTTTGTTTAGGGGGTTTGGGTTTAGGGTTTAGGGTTTAGGGTTTAGGGTTTAGGGTTTAGGGTTTGGGGGTTTAGGGTATGCTTAAACCTTTTAAAACCCTTAGTATAGAACCCTGAAACAACCCTTCGTAACATCGTCCAGTGTAGCCTCCACTACATCCTTACATGACAAGCGCTGAACCACTGGCCGTGTGCCGCACTTCGTGTCTTCTGGTCGGAAAACCCTAAACCCTAAACCTAAACCCCTAAACCCTAAACCCTACACCCTAAAACCCTTAAACCCTAAACCCTAAGCCCCTGAACCGTAGAAGGTTTAGGGTTCAGGGTTTAGGGGTTTAGGGTTTCGGGTTTAGGGGTTCAGGGTTTAGGGTTTAGGGTTGGGGGGTTTGGGGTTTAGCGTTTAGGGGTTTAGGGGTTTAGGGTTTGGGGTTTCAGGGTTTAGGGTTCAGGGGTTTAGGAATTAGG